GCGGGCAGACCCCTTCAAGGTGGTAGGGAAAGCTCTGCACATTATCTCCTCAGGCATGTTGTGGAGTTGCATGAGGGATTGTAAGTGTCCAGGTGGTCTAGGGGGTCTTTGGTGCCATCAAATATCTCAATGGAGGGCATCTTGAACTTCGAGGGGTAGGTAATAGTTAACAATATCAACAATAAAAGGGGTATCGGTGCGTCTTACCAAATAGTCCACGGTCACAAGCGTCTGTGCTTTGATGGCATTAAGGGCATCACCAAGCTAGTTTTGCACCTCTCTAATCTTCTCGTCCCACTGGTTGGGGACACCCTCAGTCTGATGGTAGTACGACTTTCGTGGTCTCCGTATTGACTTTCTCGGTCTTCGTCCTCCTGCTTAGGTTCATGAGGAGTGGGCACTCGAGAATTCCCTGCGCACTGAGGTGGGGCTAGATGAGGAGCGCCCTGGCGTAGTCCCGAAGTGGTCTGGCGAGGGGCCCCGTGGTGGGGGGCTGTCTGGCACCTAGGAGGGATAGGCAATTGTTCTTCTCCCAATGGAAGGAGTGGGACTCCTCCCATGAGGGGAGGGGCGATGCCTTCTAGGGAGAGCATGAGTTGAATGATTTGCTGATTTTGGCTCACCAGCAGCTTCATGGTCTGGAGGAGTTGTTGCTACTGTCCAGTGGCGGGAGTGGTAGTAGCGGAAGGTTCCATAGGTGCAGTGGGAGGCAGAGCCTCCTCCCGGTGAGCTGGGTTGTTGTCCCCCGGTTGCTGGCTCATAGATTGGGTAGTGATTGTCATGGATTGAGAGTAAGAAATTAGTCGTTTTTCACAGACGGCATCAAACTGATGATGCACAAAATTGTCTTCGCGCAAGATCAACAGTCAAGTATACGAACGGATGCAATTAGTAAGCAACAACAGGCAATTAATGATTAAAGCAGTAAATAAGTAGAAAACACAGAGGTTTATAGTGTTTCAGTTCGGGTGATCTACTCCACTCTTGGGAACGGCGACGTGGCCTGGGGTGTTTTATTAATAAACAGTGTTACCAGAAGAGTAACTCCAATATATTATAGTGCTTTGGATAGAGAGAAGGAGAGAGAGAGAGAGAGAGCAATGTGTGTAGGAAGGTGTAGTGTGTGTAGAGATCTCAAGGTTATGAGAGGCTGCCCTCTATATAAAGAGGGGGCTTACATTATATAGGCATGATAAGGCGGTGACGTGAGGAGGAAGACTTCTACTGTTTTAGCAAGTACAGCTATGGTAGGAGATCTTCGTGCCTATCCTGGCGTTTTCTCCCTCGTGCTCCTATTTCTTCGGAGGAGGGTCTTGAACTTGACTGAGCTCGTACTTGACTTTGAGCTTGGACCCGGAGTGATCTTGAACTTGCATTAGAGTGAAGTGAGAAGGGGAGGATGGGCAAGGAATGGACGGCGTCCACTTGAGGCCACATGGGCGTGGTCTCTATTTTGGACTCCCACTTAACTCCTTCGTCGATCCATTTGTTCTTGAACTTTTCTCTGAATTTTCTCGACTTATTTTTATTGGGCTTGACCCAGTCAAATTCGGACTCATTAGAAAGCACTACATTTGTTGAGGAGTTTAAAGTCACTGTTTCAGGGTAAGTTCTTGTAGTTCCATATCTATATGTTGTCGGCGTCGTAGCATTGAATTTGGTGGTGGTCGGTGGTGATTTGTGGTTCGCCATCTTCGACAGATGAACAGACCATTCGAAGCCGTCAGCCTGGAGACCTAATTTGATTTAAAAGGGTAGTTGTGTTATTAAAAAAATTAAAAATTAATTTGGACTTAATTAACTTAATTGTTTGAAGCATTTGTCCTTAAAAGATTTATGCTTGTTCCTTCTTGTCAAAAAAGATTGAGAAAGTGTACTTGATTCTAATTTTACTTTTTCTTTTCTTTTTTTTTTTTTTGTAACAAACACCCTAGAATCAACCCAAAGCGTCTTCAGTTTACTGTTACGTAGAAAGATAACCCCATACAGCAGGGTTACTTGGGAGGGTTAGGTTGCATTACGTAAGAAACGTACATAAACTAAAAATAAAAGCATTGAAATGGGTTAAGATCACAAAATAGCGATTTACCCAAAATAAAAAAGATCACAAAACAGCGTAGCAAAGCTACAAGAAGAGAGTTATTGAGATCTACTTGTAACAAATTTTTGATTTGTTGTCATGCCTCGAACACAGACCCACACATTCCTAGGATTATTGCGTGTCACAATCGTACCACTAATGATCTATTGTTTTTTGTATTGGAAGCCAATAAATCTATTTATTCAGTCGTCGACCATGTCAATTGACAAGTCATCATTTAGGGTATTTAAGTCTGATTATTAGAACATGATAACATTATTCTATTGTTTCTGAAGTTGGTGTGAGTAGTAACCATTATGTTTTATGAAGAGGCTGACGCTAGAATATACCGGATAAAAAGGTTAAACAAAACTTCCCTTTGAGTAGCTCTTAATACATAAGACCATATCATGTTCAAAAGCATGTCTCCCGCCTATTGCGGGGTCAGAATAGCATTATATTGGATGTGCAAAATTACAAATTCTTCCATAAACACTAAACATAAAAAGTGAGAGTTCAATAAAATTTGAAGTTTGCCTGTAAAACAAATTAAGAAATAAAAGCGTGACACTGAAGGCTACAAAAATCCTAGAGTTTAGATTTGTGTAAGATACTTAAAATCGTTGAGCACTTCTACTGTTATACTCTCAATCATGGTCAACAAAGCTGTAACTCTTCCAGCGGATGTGCAACAACAATTTGTATTCCAAGCATCATCAGGGAACAATGCAGTTGAACAAGTAGGTGCAATCATTAGAACCAGCAGTATCATGTTTGGGAGTAAATTTGTCAAAACATGAGTCTTGTGCCGCATTCATAGATAGAGGTCACAGCTACCATTCTCTCAATGAGTGACTCTTGAAAGCTTTGTCCAAAGCATCAAAAACACTCTGTAAAGTCACCTCCTCAACAATCACAACCTTGTCCTTTGATTTAGAACCAGAACCTATCGAAACTTGCCTTCTTTTGACCCCTAGAACCTGTTTATAAGGATGACAATAGCGAAGTTTCATGATATAGAGGCATTTTTTCCCTTAATCTCATCATGTATGCTGAGGAAAGGAAAGATGGAACTCGGGAAGGAACTAAATGTATGCAAACAACCAAATAGAGCTATCTTTTTATTAATATGGAAAAAAAAACCCAACCACTTGGAAATTTCAACAATAAACAGCGATGGAAACGTATCACTATCAGAAATTATCCAGCAAAAACATTAACAAAATACTCACAGAAAGAAAAACCAAAGTTAAACAAATATAAAACAAAAGAAATTATTTAATCCACACAAAACTAGTCCCATGGGTAGTAAAGATCAGAGATTGAGAGATTAAGGAATGTACTTGATATATTACATGATGGACACATAGCTCTTTAAGCTGAAACCTAAGTTCTACAAAACACTTAATACAACTACTCATACTAACAAAGTGTGTACAAGAATATTCTCTCCTCTGTGAGAGCTCTCTTTCACCATGGTGAGATCCTATCTGCTCTTTAAGCGTAATTTTGCTAAGAAAATCTCAGCACACCTTCAGTCCTCTACTCCATCTTAGTATCTACCTTTTAATGACATTTTCCTTTTTCACCATCGCTTTTATGGTGTTTCTTCTAACTATTGTCCTCAAACCCTCTTTCCTGAATCTTCGTCTGTTCCTACTCTGTAAGCGCTCGCCATTCGGGCCCCCAACAAACTCCACTGGTAATATATCCTGATTTCTTCCATATCCCTCTTCTTTTCATACCTTTGCTCCCCAGAAAATTGTTTTCCGTAAACCTTGCTTACTGACCATTTCAACCTTCTTTTCATCCCTTTTCTTATTTAGTATTTCATCTTCAAAACCTTGACCCATCCCATTATTAAGTTTTTCCTCTTCTAAACCTCCACTCATCACATTTCTTGAATCTTATTTCCCAAAAATACCTAGAATGGAACACGAAACTCTGCCACAGGTGAATGAACAGGAAGCAAATTGCAAGAAGACAGAACTACTTCGACTGTATCTTTTCTCAAATCCTCAGGCAGTCAACGAGATACTACATCTCTGTCTAGTAGGTAAATTATTTCTGACTCCAACTTAAACAAAAATGGGGTGTGTAATGTTATTCTGGGTGCATGGAAGACTGTCAATGGTTTCTCAGTTACCCAGGGAGAGGAACATTTACTTGTTCAAAATTCATATCTGAAGCTGATAGAGAGAAAATATACTCGGAAGGTCCCTGGTCAGTTATGGGGAATTTATTTGTACTGAAGAAGAGTGCCCCCCATGCTACAATCAGAGACTATATGTTCAATTCAACAGAATTTTGGGTTCAGATTTGGGGACTCCCAATTGATATGATGTTAAAGAATAATTCTTGGAAGAATTGGGAACTTTTTGAGAACGCCCACACAACTGGATAATTTCAAGGAGGAATTGATGCTATAACGTAACTATTTAAGGATAAAATGCGAGATTGATATCACTGAACCGCTAAAGAGAGATTTCCTTTGGACTAGGGAAAATTTCGATGGTACTTGGATCCAATTTCGATATGAAAGGCTATCGGACTTTTGCTACCAATGTAGTTGTATTGGCTATTGCAGAAACCTCCGTCCACATCAAATGGATGGGGAGACTTTGGAGTTTGGTCCAGAATTATGAGCACAATCCCCTCAAGGTTCATCTATCTTCAGAGAAAGTTGGGGCTCAAGTGGTAAACAAGGCGGAAGGAGATCAAAAAAGTTCAAGCAAGTTCTTCTGGATGCCGGAGATGAAGTGGAGACAGTGGTGCGTACAATGCAGGGGATTAAAGATCAGACGCGCGCTATCTGCCAAGTTAGTAGCAACAAACCACTACTTCGTACGACCTGTAACCCACCTCAAGGTTCTGAATCGCCAATAGCCAATCCTCTTCCTTCACGTGGTGTTCCTACAAATTCTCAAGGCATCTCTAAAAATTCACAACGGAAGAATCTCAACTCCACTAATTTGGTGGAGCCAGGGAACAATGGGGACCCACCTAGCTTTGTAGGAACCTTTTCGATTTTAGAGGATCCAAAGGTGGGGGCATTTATTAGACTTCCTTTTGATCCCCGTTTGAATATTGCGGTACCTAATCCATGGGATGATATAAACCCAAATAGTTTAGGTTATTTTGTAACGGAACCCCTCGAAAGCCCAGTGGATGGTAAGGCCCATTATGAGTATAGAGATCAGGATAGCCTTATTGTTTTGGGCCAGAATCCTCTTGAAGCTCATTCACTTGTGATCCAAGTTGAGCCTTTTATGAATATGAACCAGAATAAGGAAGATGAGGGTGAATTGACCTGAGGTTCTTAGCAGTTGACGCTAAAAAGGAAAGCGGAAATAGAGGAAGTGAAATGTTGCAAAAAATCTAGGACCTCACCTTTAGAACATTGCCAATTACTAATTATTGATGAATGCGTTCAAGTTGATAGATCTCTACACAGTACATACGTTTCAGGGGATTGTCGAGGTAGAAAACCTACCAGAAAATCTGCTCAAGGTAGAGGACGCAACAGGGAACCTAAAGGAGGGATGCGAGAGGCTTCAATACTGGAGGCTAAGTCCCTCATCGAGGCCATGGTGTATGACACCCCAATGCTTAATCATTTGAGCGATGAGAAGGGGGAGAGAAGAGAAGAAAGTAATATGGATCTTTGCCTATCTCAATGGATGTCTCAAGTCCAAAATACTTTTCCATCATTGGAAGAGATCCTAGATTCACAGGTGGTGGTGGCTGGCCTTGAACAGCCACAAGCTCTATGTTGATACTTTCATGGAACTATCAGGGAGTCGAGCAACCCCTACAGTTCATTGCAAGGGTTAGTTCAATCCTATCGTCCAAATATAGTCTTCCTTATGGAGAGGAAAAATAAGTCCAAGAAACTGGAAAGAATTCAAATATCACTGCAATATAAAAACAAATTTTATGTGGATCCTATGGGGAGATTGGCTCTAAGGTGGAAGGATGATGTACAGTTGGAAATTGATATTTGCAACAAGAATCTAGTCAATGCTACGTGCATAGCTAGATATCCTCCTCTTCAATGGCAAGCAACTTCTATTTATACTGAATCTGAATTTCATCAGAGACAAAAGGGTGTGAAGAGTTCTTAGACATCTGGCTGCGGCTAATGACCATCCAAGGCTAATAGTTAGAGACTTCAATATCATTGGTTCAATGCGGGATAAAAGAGTGGCAGAGTGGGAAATATGAGATCGATTGAAGACAAAGCTTGACTTCAATATCACTGGTTCAGTGCAGGACAAAGCATGATTTCAGATTGTGGCATGATGGAACTAGACTTTAAGGGGCAAACTTTCATTTGGTCTAATAACAGGAAAGGAGATGCGAATATACTGGAAATGATTGATCGTGAATAAATTGCAAAAAAAATACCATGTCTTTAAGTTTGAAGCTACGTGGATGGAATCGGAGCAATGTGCAGAGAGATAGTGAAACAAAGTTGGGAAAGTGGGGTAAGAGTACGGAATTTGTCCATGCGAAATTAGAAGATTGCAAGCTGAGATTGAAAAAGTCGAGCAAATAAGAATTTGGTAACAATAGGAAAATTTTGACAAATCTGAAGTTAGCCCTAGAGGAAATTCAAAAAAAGGGGACCTAATAGCTAGAACCTTTTGAAGGAAAAGGAAACCAAAATCCAATTGGAGACAATATGGAAAAGAGAAGAATTAATTTGTTAAAGACAGGGGATCAAATACGAGGTTCTTCCATTTAACAACGATCCAAAGACGTCAACGAAATCAGATTGTGAAATTGAAATCGGCAGGAGAGGAGTGGACAGAAAGAGAAGAGGAGTTGAATCATCATATAAAGGAGTATTTTCAAAATCTGTTCAAATCCTCAGGACAAAGGGAATTTAGAAGGATTTTGGAAGTCATGCCTAATTTGATTTCCACGAAAATGAAGGATGTTTTGCTGAGCCCATTGTTAGATGAGATGAAAAGAGCCACAATGATGCAAATGGCCCTCAATGCACCTGGTCCAAAAGGGTATCCGGGGAATGTTCTATCAGAAATTTTGGAAAACAATTGGTCCAGAGGTCTATGCTGCTATTAGAAAGTTTTTTGATGAAGGGAAGATGGTCCAGTATATTAAAATAACGAACCTTGTCTTGATCCCGAAAGAAACAAATCCTGAAGACTTCTCTTAGTTTTGGTCTATCTCACTGTGAAACTTTGCTTACAATATAATATCAAAGGTGTTGGCTAATAGACTAAAGAAGATCCTCCACCTCCTGGTAACACCTAATCAAGTTGCCTTCGTCCCTCATAGGTACATACGGGACAGTTTTTTAGTTGCTAAGGAAGCTTTCTATGCGCTCAAGATCAATAAGATAGGTAAAATTCCATCCATGGCCACTATACTCAATGTCAACAAAGCTTATGACTGGATTGAATGGGATTTTTTGGAAGCTATTTTGAAAAAGTTAGGGTTCACACTGAAATGGATCAACCTCATTATGTAGTGTGTTTGCACAATTAAATTTGATGTGGTGATTAATGGAGAATCAAGAGATGAGGTGATTCCTCAAAGAGGACTTCATAAGGGCGATGAGGGGAAATGAAACCATGGAGAATCTAACGGAGGAGTCCCACACTATCCCATCTTTTCTTTGCTGGCGACTCTTTTTTTTCAAGGCCAATGAACAGGATGGAACCAGATTGAAGTCTATTATACGCATATATTGTGAGGCGGCCTGGACAACTTATTAATTTCAAGAAGTTGAGAATTCTCTTCTCAACAAACACCACAGTAGAGCAGAAAACCGTCATGAGTCAAGTTATGCAGATAAAAGTCCTTCCCAAGAGTGCCAAATATTTGGATTTGCCAGCCATGTGGGGGAGATCCAAGACCAAGACTTACAATTATCTACTTAAGAGAATTATGAGGAAGATTCAAGGGTAAAAGGAGGTTTATCTCTCCCGGGCGGGGAAAGAAATTCTTATAAAATCAGTGATCCAAGCGATCCCCAATAATGCTATGTCGTGTCTGATTTTCCCACAAAAATTATGCGATAAAATGACAGTGTGTGCGGCGCTTCTGGTGGGGCCAAAATTCAGAAACTAGTGGAATCCCTTGGAAATGTTAGGATGGTATGACGACGTCTAAAGCTATAGGAGGTATGGGTTTTAGGGATTTCCATTGCTTTAATCAGACCTTGCTAGCTAAGTAATGTTGGCGATTAATACAGAATCCGAATTCATTTTGGGTTCGGATACTAAAATCGATTTAGTTTCCTAATTCGGATTTTATGGAGGCTAGAAGGGGGGTGAGACCATCATGGATATGGAGCAACCTATTAGTGGGAAGAGAGTTGTTGTCTAAAGGCCTAAGATGGCAGGTGAGAAGTGGTGATCAAATTAATTTTTGGAAGGATAGATGGATCCCTACCCTACCTAGTTTTTCAATTACTCCGCTCAAGCCCTTTAATTGTAATATTGAGTATGTTGAGGATGTAATTAATCAATCATCAAAGGCTTGGGACATGACTATTCTTCAAAAGGTATCCAGCACAAAGGAACAACAAGTAATGAAGACTATCCCCATCTCGAAGATGAAGAAGGAGGATAAGAGGATATGACAATTTAATCCAAAGGGCCAATACACAGTCAAGTCAGGCTATAGGGAGGCACGAAGAAGAAAGATAACTATAGTTAATTAAGAAGCAGTTCCTCTTCACTACTTCATCCTAAACTTTGGAACATTATCTGGAGCTTGAAGATCACACCTAAGATCAGGCACTTTTGGCGGAGAGTATGCTCTAATGCTCTTTCTACTAATGAGAACCTATTTAGGAGGAAATACAACTCCCCACTTTGCCAGATTTGTGTGACTCAAATTCAGACCACTTAACACCTTTTATTTGGGTATGTGTGGACGCATAGAGTTTGGCTCGAAATGGACCTGGGTTTAAGAATGGAAAATCAAAGTATGGTAGCTGCGAAGTTTTGGACATCTAGTTTATTGGAGGGACCAAACTCTTTTCAACAAGCTGTGGAGGTTCTTAGCAAAGTTGTGACAATGGGATAGTCTATTTGGAAAATGAGGAATGAGGTTATTTTCCAATCTGCAATCCCCAATCCTTTAGTCACACTAAAAAGGGCACAATTTGATTGGGGAGAATACAATTCCATCTTTTATGTTCAGGAGCAACACCCTTGTAATCCATCTTCAGATCTCCCCTTTTCAAATTGCTAGCTAAGACCTCTTCTAGGTGTGATGAAAGCCAATAGTGACGGAGCCTTTAATGAAAAGACGAAACAAGCATCTATAGGCGCGTGATCATCAGTGACCACAGAGGAGCTTTCTTAAATGGAATAGCACAAAAGTCTCCCTTTGCATCCAGCCTCTTTTCGGAAGCAATGGCTCTATGTGAAGCATGCCGACAGATTTATACGTTAAAAATATCTCAGGCAATTGTGGTAAGCGATTCTCAAATCCTAATCTCACTTTGTACTGGGGAAGACGTACCCTATTGGGAGATTGCAACTTTGGTCTTAGGTTGGTTTACAACCCTCGTTCAGCTAACAAGGCAACCCATTGGGTGGCAAAAGTGATGACGTCTCTTTTATTATTAGATAGATGGATTTCTGATCCACCTGCGGATCTGAGGCGCATTTTTTCTAATGATTGTAATTATGACATTGTTTCGTAATGAAAGTTTTACTTTTCTGGTTCAAAAAAAAAAACTACTCATACCTTATGGTATAAATTGTTGAGCAACTAAAAAACATGTTCACAAACTAAGAGTGTCATGTTAAATAAATGTGTAGTAAAACAAAAAAGAAAGGAATTAAGAATGAGTACATTGCTGAAATGATACAAGTGACACTAATAGGAAATAATATGAGATAAATTAATTGATCAAAAATAACTTTAAACTAGATAAATATGATAGCTTTAACAAAAGATATTGTCCTTGACAGCAAAGAATGACAAAACAAGATTCATATCATGGTACCTTTAATGGCATATACTCTTGAGAACAAACCATAGCGAAACATGATTCATGTGGACAACCTCTCTACGTGGTACGGGTACAGGTACGGGGTACATTACTTTTTGCGGTACGTGGTGCAGTGGGGGTAGGCTTAGCTGGTACGCTTTTTTGGGTCGCAGTTCGCTTTGAACTATTATTCGGATCGTTTTTATTATTACAAAAAACTATATAAATATATACATTATAAAATGCAAATCAAGACCAACAACAACACATCAACTAATAATTATGTATAAAAAAGTAATGATTGCATATTTTATTATCAATAAAAGACAGCATATAAATTTAAAGATTTAAAATTTAAAAAATAACGTACTAGAGAGCGATTAAATAGCTTCCTACTTGAAGCACAAATCAAAATAACACTCTTAAACATCTAACAAGTCTCAAATAAAAATTACTTAATAATAAGAAAAATCAGCAATTGCTCATGAGTTAATTGTCAACTCTTTTCCCTTTATCTTTCGCAGTGTTCTCTCCTCTTGCAAGGTTACTAATTTGAGTCTGATGTAGTCCAGAATGACGGAGCGGTGGCCTGCTAGAACTAGTAGGTGGTTTGTCAATAGAGATGGGCATAGAAGCATGTAAGGATGAAGCTTCCCGATCTTCGTCTCCAGCAATGGTAGAACTATCTGTATTGTCATCCTCCAAGAATTTCCATTGCAAATCCTCCAATTTCACACTAGAATCATCTTTATATATGTGCTCTGGATTTATATCCCATTTTTTAAAAGGGTCATCTTTGTACCTTTCACTGAAACGTGATTGGAGACGAATATTCGAATGGATGAAAACTAATTTGTTAGCTCTGGTAGAATTCAATCAGTTTCTTTTGACATTGTGAATAAATGAATACGTGCTCCAATTTCTTTCAGCTGAAAAACTTGTAATTGGTTGTGATAACACTTTTAATAAAAACAAATAATAAGACACATTAATAATATAATTAACAATAAAAATAAATAACTTGTAATTTAAATTAGTACATTTTTTGCCACTTCTACTAATTCTAGAGTTTCTGAACCATATATCGACCATCAATCAATAGCATCCATGGTCACAGCATCTGTTGGAGCCACCGTCATAGCATAAAGACCCTTTCGCGAGTGAAAATGTGCATACTGTTCTCTCAATTGTTTTGCTTCTTCTACATCTTCTGCTATCTTTTCAAAAACTTCCATAACACCTATGATGACCTCTCTATCTTGATTTGAAGTTTTCCTAATTGTACCTCCCGGTGCTAGCTTAGTAAGATATTGGGTATCATAAAATCGCAGTGTTTAGTGCAAACCCAAGACAATGCAAAGGAATATTCATCTTCTCCCATTTGTCGAGCACAATTTTTTCAATCTGAAAAAATTTATCAATGTATTTTTCACCCCTCATAATATCTTTTATTTCACCAAGCATGTTGTCCATCTTCTCATAAATCTCACCCATTTTTTGACCTTCCCCATCACAAAATTTAATAAGAAAAAATATAGGCTTTGTGATACTTATAATATTTTCCACATCCTCCTAAAATTCTTCACTAATAACAGTTGTTGTAACCAGAGCACCTAACTTTCTTGTGTGTTCATCCCCAAAATTCACCAATTCTTTCCATGACTTGAGAACAATGGTAGTTGCAAGGGACTCTATACAGTCAACAAGTTGCTTCAACAAAATATAATGCGATGCAAACCTGATCTTAGCCACTTTTTATAGCTCCAATTTAGACTAAGCTCTAAACATAGCCAAAACATGTGTATGGTTCAAGAAATATTTAATAATAGACTTTCCCCTTCTATAAGTTTTTCTAAATCATTCAAATTCCTTTGCAAAGTCTTTAAAAATTAGATTCAGAGTATGAACAACACAAAGAGACCAAAATATATGTTTGTGTACCTTTTCCACCTCTTTCCCAACAAATTTGCAATTTGTTGTATTATCGATCACTACTTGAATGACATTTAGTGGACCTACTTCTTCAATGACTTTCAAAAAAAAATCAACAATTGCTTTACCCGTTTTCTCTATCCCTGAAAAATCCTAAGCATATAAAAACATAGCTCCACGACTATTTGCAACAGTGATATTAATAAGTGGTTGATGCTTCACATTAGTCCACCCATCTGATACAATGAATACCCCATTAGAATATCATGTATCTTTAATAAGAATCAAATCTTTTTCAACACTTCTTTTGTACTCTTCCAATAATGTAGCTCTTGCTTTTTCATAGCTGGGAGCCTTGTAACCTTTAGGTCCTCTATTTATAGCTAAAATCATCTCATTGAATTGAAGATTTCTTAACACATTGAATGGAATTCCATTAGCACATAATCCCCTCATGACCTTCAAGTCTACCATGTCTCGATCCATTATTTTGAATGCATCTTCAATTGATCCCGTCGTCGGCGAAGGTTGTCGTTTCATCAATGTAGAATTTTTTCTTCAATTGATCCCGTCGTTGGCAAAACTCCTATTTTTTCTGCCATTTGTACTCTTTCTCATAATTTTGCATATTCAGTCAAATTATTCATCAAAGCTTGACACTGTTTAATTTCTGTTTTTTTCCCAGGTGGAGCACCAAAAAAAGGGTAATGCATTCGAGTATAAGAACTTGTAAATTTACCACTTCAATGCTTACATCGCCAACTATTTGATCCCCCAGATTTTTTCATTGAGCTGCACCAATAAGATTGACTTCATTGAGTAGTGATTTCAATTTTGCATCAACTTGTAATTGATCTTCCTGTGTGCAATTTTTTTGTGGTTGCCTAGTATTATTTTTTTCCGTTACTTTAATATGTTCAACTTCTTGTTCATCAGCAGAATCATCTAAATTCAGAATATTAATTCCGAATTGTTCTTCAACCTGAGAAGAGTCTTGTTATTTCCTCCTTCTTTTACCAAAAACTATTTTTTTAAGCAAAAAAAATTCAATACAGTAGAATGAATAATGAGTAAACAGAAAGAGAAAAGAGAGAGAGAGAGAGGCGGTCGATAATAGGGTAAAAATCTAGAAAAATAAATATATATATGGCTGCCAGGCTCGTTGGGTATAAAACAATGTACAACTGCCTAATTAGTAGACAATAGTACTTTACTTTTTTTTCCAAAATGTGTGATACAAGATATGTAAAATAAAGGGCTTTTTTTTGTCTTTTTATCAAAAAAAATTTGAGTGTTGTAGTTGTACACGACACATTGTCAGAGACTCAGAGTCTCGGTCATCCAATATAAGTCGATTCTTTTTTTTTTTTTGTCAGACTCTGGTTCTTCTAGACAGAAGAGAGAGAGAGAGAAGGAGAAGGAGATCAATCATCAATCTGCGAAGTCGACGAAGAGAGAGATACAGATCTGCGATGGGAACTACCAGTCTTTATCTGCGAGTTGCGAAGTCGACGGAGAGAAGGAGATCGATCGATCGAGGCAAACGAACGCGATTCATAGCACTTCCAGGTAGGTATTTCATCTACAATCTTCAAACATTATATGTTGAGTTCTTTGTTATTTATTTTTTTTTTGGAATTTTGGAACAAATTTGTGGTACGATTGAGTTTGGTATATTGATTTGGGGTGGGTAACTCCTAGTTATGGGAAAAAATTGGGGACGCTGGTTTTGCCGATCCAGGTCGCGAACGACCCACGTTTGGGGTCATGCGACCCAGATCGGGGATCGTAGGGGGTCTGACGTTTTCAGGTAACCCTGGTTAAGTCCATATCGATTAAAGTTGTGGGGATGGTGTTAATGGAGAGTTCTTTCATAACCTTGGGTATCTCTTTGAAATCTAGAATTAGTGAGTCACTAATCACTCTCAATGGTGAGGATCAAATGCAGAGCATTGAATTTCTCAAACTCAATGCTCCAAAAGGTATCTGAGCATGTACAAGGGTGTAAATGAGATTAGTTCACTTATCATGAACTATACTTGTATTTGTTTGATGTTTATGTATTATCTTATAGAAGGGAACCGGAATGGGGATGCTTGAATCTTTCTTCCCTAAATTATGCTGATTATATGCTTAAGAATGTGACAATACAGAAATATCACATTAAGAGCACGGATGGAGTAATGTTGATAAAATTCTTTTTTAAGTTTCCCAATAATCGAATGGCTTCAAAGCTAAGAATGTGTTTTGACATCCATTGACACAATGCTGCAAATATCCATAAGTCTATACAAACATAACACACACACGTTTCAATCATCCGATGATCTTGCTAATGTTTCCAGTCCACATAGGTTAATAAACCCATGTTTCATCTCAGTGCTGAGCAGTTTTTGCCGAAAATCTCAAAATCTCTGCTTAAATTTTGCAAATTTAAGCAATACATAACTAAGGGTGAAGGACTTACCGAGCTAATGTAATCGAGTAACGCAGCGTTAGCTTCACCATCCTTAGCCGGCGCGTCAATCTGCACGCTTAATGCCCCATCGTTGAAATCTAAAATTCATTACAAACCCATCAAAACACGTGTATTTAGAGACAGAAAACGTAAAGAAAAGATTCAATTTAACAGAAATTCTTTTCGGGAGGAGAGAGAGAAAACCGGTGATAGTGGCGAGTTTGGAACCGGGTTTAGCGTGGATGGTGACGGCGACGGAGGAAGGAGGAACGGGGCGGATACATGCTGGGAATTTGGCGTTTACAGGGGACGGAGACTGAGTTGATTGCGCCGAGTTGGCCTTCGCTTTGCCTTTCTTCGAGGGAGCCATTTTGTTCTTCTTTTCCATCGCTGATGATTTCTATTCTATTAGTATTAATTATTAGGGCCGATTCCGGTGGTTGATTGTGATAGGTCGCTTAATTATTTATATCTCTGATATTTAACAATGATATTCTAAAATTGTACTTAGATTCTATTTTAAATAAATCCGTTAATAAATTATATTTATACTTAAATTCCTTAAATTTAAAATATTATACTTAAACTAAAAATACTCTAATCAAATATAGAATATTAAATATTTAAAATTTTATAACTAAAATTCATGTTTTATTATATTATTTATTAAAATAAAATTAAAAATAAAAATTTAATTCTTTCTTAAAAAATTATAATTTGTATACAGTATAATCTATTGAAATAAAATTTAAAAAAATCAAACAATGGATCTAAGTCATTCATAATAGAACATAAATTTTACATCCAAAATTTATGTTCTATTATGTTATTTATTGAAATAAAATTAAAAATAAAAATCTATTTTTAAAAAAAAATTATTGTTAGTATATAATTATACTATCTATTAAAATAAAACTAAAAAATTAAACAAATGGTCAAACTGTAATGAATACAATATCTTTTAACTTTAATTGGGATAGTTTGGTATTTTAATTTAGTTGTTTAAACGACCAAATTAAATTTCAATAGACAATATAATTGTATACTAATTATATTTTTTTAAAAAAATTAAATTTTTATTTTTGATTTTATTTCAATAGATAATATAATAGAAGATGAATTTTAATTATAAAATTTAAAATATTTAATATTTTATCTTTAATTAAAGTATTTTTGGTATAACTATAATATTTTAACTTAAAGGTGTCTAAATAATATATATTTACATACTTCAAGGGGTTTGAATGTAATTTATTAATTGATATATTTACCGCAGAGGTCTAAGTGTTTCACACGTAAAAACTTTAGAAGGTCTGTATGTGATATTTTAAATGTCAGGGGTGTAAATGATTAAGTAACAACCATCAAGGAATATGAATGTAATTCTCCCTTTGTTTTTTTATTTTTCAATCAAGCCCTTTCCAATCTAGTTAAACCCAACAGGTTATAATTGGTTTAAATTATGAGGCTTTCCCCAAACCTATCCCTATGAAATCTTAATTCTAAAACCTAGTCACTTTTAAACTTAATTTTCAAACCCAATTTTGTTTCAAAAATGTCATTTGGAATGACGTTTTCATAGGTTTAAACGTCATTTCAATTGACGTTTTTAAATTGAATTTTTTTTATTAAATACGTTATTGAAAATGACGTTTTTTAAATCGTTATTTTGAGTAATGTTTTTTAAAATAATTTTCAAACAGTAGCTAAGTGGGAGTTAAAAAATTAGACAAAAAAACATCATTGAAAGTGACATTTTCTGTCTTAATTTCTCCAACCTTCTTCTAATTTTAAGTGAATCAATTATAGAATTTAATTTCATTTTCATAATAATTTTGTACTTATTTTCTAATCGAAAATGAATTTCATAAAAGCATAATTTAACCACCACCTTTGCCACAATAACCACCACCACCACCACCACCACCATTGCCGCCATCCTACTACCACCACCACCACCACCACCTTTGCCATAGCAATCACCACCGCTCCACCACCAACATTATCCCTACAACCACCACCATCATTGTCATCTCACCATGTAAACCCCCACATATTTATAATACTATAATAATTATATTGTTTAGTAATTTAATATATGTAATGGTGTAGGTATGAACCATATAGGTTATAACCGTAAAAAATGTTAATAGTGTAAAAACTGGGTAAATATATGAAATTGTTTGTAATCAAACTCGTTCCAACTATGTTTGATGTCTAAATGTATGTTGTATAAGTTTGAGTTGATTTTGGAAGAGTTTGAAATAGATTGAAAATGAAAAATAGAGGAAACTGGAAAAACAGTACCGGTACGCTGCTGTCGAGAGAGCTCACCATACCGGTACTGCGTACCGATACACTCGGTAAAACCCATAAATTTTAATTCGCGATCAGTGGTTTGTTTTTCGCTCTATAAATACTTAAAGACACCTCCTTTAGCCCCATTTCAATCTTTTTAACCCTAGGAAACCTTAGAATGGAAGAAAGAAGGGAAAACATAAGAAATTCAAGTGTTGATTCAAGTGGGAAAGATCAAATCTTCTACATTTCTTCCCAAACTACAAATAAGGTAGGGGTTCTTTCCATTTTTGACCATTGAGGATAGGACTTATATTTATATTATGTTTTCACTCTTATTTATATATATATATGCTATGAAATTATCCTTTCTTGTTATTTTTGCAAAGATTACCATGTTTTAAACAAAGTTAGGGTTAGATAACTATAAAAACTCTTTTCTTGTCATAAAACCCTAGTTTCCAAGAGAAATTAATTTTGTTCTCTTGTGTTTTTCCCGTGTTCTTGATTTCAAAACTTTAGTGCTTTGTAATGAACAATAAAAATGGATTGTTGATGATCTCTTGTTTATTTTCTTAAATTGTTCTCTTGTAATACAAATTGTGAAATTTGGGGATTTTAGATTTCATTGTGATTTGAGAAAATGTTTGTTATTGCATCTCTTGTATGGTTGTTGTGATGGACTTGAATTGCATTCGAGCACTGTCGTAGAGTGTTAAAGGTTAGTTTATCCTAGTGGGGGTGAGATAGTTTCCTAATACTTGTAGTGGTTTATTGTTTGTGAGAACAACTACTATTATTGATGTAGGTTCGAGGCTGAGGGATGATATACCTTTCCTGTGAAGGATTAGTCAATACCGTGAGAGATGGTATACGTCATTTCTAAAAAAATTTGAGATTATGTGATTTTGGTGGGTGAACGAGGTAGAATCGTGGTGTAGATTCATGGAAAGCAACCAACATACCTGAGAATGTGGGATTACATTGTTGAATGATTGTTTGATTTCTATCACTCCGACATGTTTATTTTATATGTTTTCTAAACCTTGTTTGAGTGTGGGAGGATGTTACTATAGAGCTTAGTGCTCACCCCCTACAAACAACATATTTTTCATATTATGTGCAAAAGGAGGAGCTCGAAATAGATGAACATGCACCTTGGGAAGCTTCAATAGATGGGAACGTGGATCCCGAGATGGACGTTTAGAATTATATTCTCTTTTGTCCTAGGTTCTAGATTAGGGAATTTATTTTGAGACAATGTAAAGGCTACCATATTTTGTAATTTCGTTGCGAGATAATAGCTAATTCTTTTGGGATGTAATGCCCATGGTTTGACATATTCTTTTGGAATGATGTTATATACATTATGAATGATGAATGAAATTATTTTTATTTATGAATTTTATTAGGTTATCTCATGATGTGAATGGTTTTAGATTGTGATGCCATCCAAGGGAGCTTTGGGGGCATTACACACCATCACCCTTACCGCCGCTGCCGTCATTACCTCCACTACTACCCGACCTTCACCACTACCCCCATTGCTCCACCACCACCACTATATCCACCCCACCACTACCACCACCACCACCACCATCACCCTTACCACCACCGTCGTCATTATCCCCACCACTACTAGACCTTCAACACTACCCCACTGTCATCCCTACCACTACCCCACCGTCACCGCAATCCTACAAAAGTGTGCAAAACTTCAAAATAGGGAAAAAAATACTTATACATTAAAACAAAATAATTTTATTACATGATACGGTAAGAAATACAGTATGTCAATAATTTGGTTGATGTAGAAAATAACATAGAGGATTGTCGAGTACACATAAACTCGAAGGAATAAAAGTGTCAAATGCATCATCATTTAAATCGGAATAATCAAAAAGTTCTGTATTTGAAACAAGTAACAAATTCTATAAAATTTGAATATTAGCATAATCAAAGATCGAAATGCTTGATTTTAGCATGGTCGATTGCATGCAAACGATCAAGTCTACGTTGTATTTGATCATTTTCATGTTCAAGCCTGACTATGATCTTGTTATGGTTGGTAGAGTTTTGTGGATCATATATATCAGCCTAACGTGCCTTCAGTACCATTAATCTATGTCAACGACAGTATACTTGAAACTCACAATGTTTGTCATATAACTGTTGCCATCTTGGGGTGGGTTCAATACGAACACTCGGATGCAGATAGTCGATCGTAGGCCCAACAATACGTGTCCAACTTGACCGAATGAATGATAAGGGTTGATGGGCTCATTACGGAACTCACGCCTTTGTCTATACCAAGTTACACCAATAGAATTTGTGTATGATTTAATTGAACGAACTACGTTTGACAAACTCATTCAGCCAATCGAGTGTTGACATTCGTTGGGTGAAGATGAAATTTGTTGTTCATTGCGTAATAAAGAACCTTGGGTGGTTTGACTGGATTGTGTGTTAGATGTGCGACTAGACGCGTTTTGGGTTATGATGTACACAATTAATTCGGATGGTTTATATAGACACGAAATACAATTATATATAAATTTGGCAGGACATTTACTTGGTACGACTCATATGACTTGACACATGTAAAATAATGATATGACTCCACACTAATAAAGTAATGACATAACTCATGAATGACAAAAGGACTGACATGACTTGTCACTAGACTGACTACACTGATAAAACAATGAAATGAGTTCACAATGAAAAAGTAAATACATAACAATTCAAATACAAAGGACTGACATGACTTGACACTATACTTGTTAGACAGGCTTGCTATATATCAAATGAACAATTGTACTCTTTGTTAAGTTTCATTAGACATATAATCATCTGATAGGTATTGTGCATTAGAAAATATATTATTTTGCTCAACTATTGTCAACTCATGTCCATGTGCAGTTTGCATCATGTCTTTTACTTGTTAGAGCATATAATTGTGAGACCTATGAACTAGAATTCTATTATTCTTTCTTTGACCTTGTTTTACTGCTGATTCGTAGTCCTTTCTATTCTGGCATTGCATTGTTATTAATCGTCTATGAGACAATGGTATGCCTAGTTCTCTTAGTTGTA